TTTTAAGTTTGTTTTTACTGGTCACTATTTTTATTCATTGTTTGCACCGTGTTGGTTGCACGGGAAGTTATTAAAAAAACTTTGTAGATTCATATTCATTCCTTAATTATGTCTTTACTCTTTAGATAGAAAATTAAATATATTTTATCAGAACGTACGTGGTCTCCGTACTAAATGCCTTGACTTATATAATAATATACTATCGTGCAACTACAACGTTATACTCCTTACAGAAACTTGGTTGCAATATGTGATAGCAGGTTTGATGTATTCCGTTGCGATAGAGACTTGGTGGCTACGAATAAGAGTTCGGGTGGAGGTGTAATGATTTGTACCCGTCGTGAGCTAGGTGCGACTAAACGTGTAGACTGGGGTTGTAAATATTTCGAATCTATATGTGTCAGCTTGCCAGCCCGATTACTCAGCTCACAATACAACCTAAATATTATACTAGTTTACATACCACCAGATGAAGTTAAATTAGCTGAGTATATTAATGAATTTAGAATCAGTTTTGAGCGTTTTTATCATACGTCACAATCGGACACAATCTTTATGATTATTGGTGATTTTAATTTGCCTTGTTTAACATGGAACACTGATGGTTGGTCTTTGATACCGATAGGCAAATCTGAGGTTCAATTAGCTGCTAATACCTTGGCTGAGGATCTGAGCTTTTTAGGTATGAGTCAATTTAATTTTATTCAAAATCGTTGTAATAATGTCCTCGACTTGTGTTTTTCAAACTTACATACATAAACACTCACGCCTGTCACCCAGAGGGGTAGGCAGAGACTACGGACTTCCATTTGGCGCGATCCTGACACACCTCTCTCGCCTCTTTTACATCCATATATCTACGCATACACGCTCGTCGGTTAAGGGTACTCCTAATCTGGCCCATTTTTAATGTATCGCCGATTTGGTCGATAAACCTTCGTCTAGGGCGTCCCTTCCCGACCCTGCCGTTCACTTCCGCAACATAAATTTGCTTTGTCACTCTTTCCTCGTTCATTCTTTCTACATGACCAAACCACCGAAGCATTCCTTTCTTAATCCTTGTCACAACGTCATCTTGCAAACCACACTTTTCTCTTATCACACTATTTCTCACCCTGTCATTCAGATTTAGCCCTAGCATACTCCTTAAGGAACGCATTTCTACAGCATTTATTCTACTCTCATGCTTCTTCTGCCAGACCCAACTTTCACTACCATACATTAAAGTAGGGACTAACACAGCATTATGAATTGCCATACGTGCCTTAGTTGACACATTCTGACTCCTCATAATAGCGTGTAGAGCCCCATTCACTCTATTTCCTGCGTTCACTCGTCGTTCTATATCCTTATCATATCTACCATCCCTGCTAAACAAACATCCCAAATATACAAACTCATCCACTTGCTCAATCAACTCCCCTTCTATTCTTATTTCACATAAAGTTTTACTTTCTTCTCTTTCAAAAACCATCACTTTCGTCTTACTTGCGTTCACTTTCATACCCCTTTCTTTCAATGACCAATTCATTAAAGTAACCATCATTTGCAACTCGGCCGCCGACGATGCAAATATGACTTGATCATCGGCGTACAAAAGGCATTTGACGGTTGACTCACCCATTCTCAACCCACATTCTTCAACTTTCAAAGTTTGCAAACAATTTTCAAAGTTTTTTCAAACTTATATTTAGAAATAAAAAAATCGGATCATATTTCCAGATTAGATGATTTTCATCCTCCATTCACGGTTGATGTCACTGATCTTTCCATCAAACCTTTAAAAGAGAAATCTCAACTGAATTATAATTTCCGGAAATGTAATTACACAATCATCAATGAATTTTTGAATAATGTTCATTGGAATGAGTTGCTGTTGAATACTGCGTCAGTAGATCATGCTGTAGAAAATTTTTATAAAAAATTAAACGAATGCTTTGTGCTATTTGTTCCTCTTGTACCCTCTTGTAATAATTATTACCCATGTTGGTACAGCCCTGCATTGATAAAAATTTTACGGGAGAAATCTAAAGTCCATAAAAAATGGAAAAAATGGAAGAATCCTCGTGATTATGAAGAGTTTAAATTGCTTAGAGATAGACAACATCGTATACAAAAGAAATGTTTCGAGCATTTCACGTGTAACACTGAAAAAAATTTGAAAACGTCGCCTAAGTTCTTTTGGAAATATGTTAAATCAAAGAGAGGGACATCCACTTATCCTCAAAATTTCTCTTTTAACAATAAGAAATACTCTAATGGGCAGGACATTTGCTCAGCATTTAATAACTATTTCAAAAGCGTATTTACTGATTCTGTTTTACCATCAAGTGAGTTTCATAACCATTCCGATATGAGCATAGATCAGATCTCTAGCATAAATATATCCCGGGAAGCTGTTCTTAAGTATCTTAAACACTTGGATTCAAATAAAGGGGCTGGTTATGATGGAGTGCCTCCTGTGTTCTTGAAGTACTGCGCCGATAGCTTAAGTTACCCAATTTCTTTACTTTTTAAACTTTCTCTACAACATTCTGTTTTTCCATTGTTATGGAAAAGAGCGCATATAATTCCTATTCATAAAAAAGGCGCCAAATCTAAGATAGATAATTACCGCCCAATTTCGATTCTTAGCACTGTTGCGAAATTTTTTGAAAAACTAGTATTTGATAAAATTTATCCAATTATTATAAAAGGTATACCTAACTCACAACATGGTTTCTTGAAGAGACGCTCCACCACGTCTAATCTTGCCTGCTTCACTGAGTACGTTCTCAATCATATGGAAAACGGTGGTCAGGTTGACGTGATATACACGGATTTCGAAAAAGCTTTTGACCGTGTTAATCATGTTGTCTTGCTACAAAAGCTCCAGGCACTCGGAATTAATGGAGATCTGCTTAGATGGGTAAAATCTTATCTAATGAATCGATCTCAGGCAGTTATTCTTGGAGGATACAGGTCAGATTTTATTACTATCCCATCTGGCGTGCCTCAAGGCTCTCATCTTGGCCCCCTATTCTACAACGCATATATATTTGATATACATAAATTTATAAGTAACTGCCATCACTTACTGTATGCCGATGATAAGAAAATATTTCTCAGTGTTCGTACTATTGAAGACTGCGAATCTATTCAAAAAGATCTTGCCTCTTTATATAACTTTTACGTATCTAACGGCATAAATGTAAGCATATCTAAATGTCAGTGTATATCTTTCACCAGGAAATTGAATCCAATAGTATTTCCCTATAATTTTAATGGAATTTTAATTAAGAGGGTCACAATTGTTCGAGATTTAGGCGTACTCTTTGATGCCGACATGACCATGCGTGATCATATCAATAGTATATGTAGTAAATCTTTTCGTAATCTTGGATTTGTCATGCGCACATGTCTTCCATTTACGGAATTACTAAGTCTTAAAATAGTTTATTTTTCTTATGTAAGATCCACTCTTGAGTATGCATGCCAGGTTTGGTCACCGTTTTTTAAAATTTACATTAACAATATTGAAAGAATTCAACGTAAATTTATTTCACACCTGAACTATAAATTTAAACATAATAGCTCATCATATTTAGATGACTGCCGACACTATAACCTTCTTACGCTCGAAGAAAGACGAGGACTGTTAGATATGGGATTTCTATATGATATTTTACGCGAAGGTATTGACTGTCCGGATTTACTGAATAATGTCACGTTTAATGTGCAAAAAAAAACGTACTAGAATCACCAAGGAAACTATGTTTTGTATTCCTCGTCACTCCACATTTTACGGTAAAAATAGTATCTTAACACGATTGTTATCAAATTATAGCAAAACATTTAATACCATCGATCCCTTAATAGGCAGTAAAAGTGATTTTACAAACAAGGTACGTGCATTCATTTTGAACACAGCTTCTGTTGTTTGAATTACCTGTATTTGTAACCATTTACGTAGGATGCAGGTAAGGTACATTATGAAAAACACTTTCTGTAGGTATCTATATTTAAATAATAAGTAAACTAAGTAATATTTTAGAATATGTATGTATATTTATGTGTGTGTATGTGTGTATGTATGTATGTATATGTATGATAGATATAAAAAATACTCGAGAAGTAAATCGCATATCAATTTATCAGTAAGGCTTAATATGTAAGTGTTAGTAAACCTAAAATTACTTAATTTTTATTACTGTTATTTTATTAAGCTGTTTTAAATTGGTCTAATTTGCATTGTTTTTATTTATTATAATTGTACCTGGCTTACCTTTATATTTAATATGTGGATGACTGTTATTGGCATACTTGAAGTGAAATTGAAAATTGTATTTAGTGATATACGCTGTTGTTATCCTTATTAAAATAAAAATAAAATAAAATAAAAGATGAATATATTTGACACAGATTTCATGACAGGGGGGAATATATTTTTAGGTTGTATGTAAAGATTCCTTGTGAAATATTAGTTATATTTTTATTAAATAGATAATAAATGATAAACCTAACTACGGATATTTTAAAATAGAAGAAAATTAAAAAAAATTAAAGAGCGAGTCACTGAGGCACTGTATTGTATCTCCACTATTCTAGAAACTCAAATAGAAACCGATGAACTTTTATTTAAAACGCAACTTCTCAATTATAATGACATTGTGTTACAAATAACATGACCTCCGTCCTAACTGGCGACATCTGGCAAGCGAAAGATTATTGGCGCTCATTCGCCAATCAAAAAATCGCCAGAAGAAGAAAAACTACTCATATTAATAAAAATCTCAGAATGTATATTGTTGTTAAGCGTACGAATCAAAACAACAAAATTTGTTTAAAACGTAGGAGGCGCGATATCATACAATGTTATTCGATATGCAACCTCCCCCCCGCCCTCCTCGCTACCGGCCTTTTAGCCCCCACCAGTCTCTTATTATTATTATTTCGGGCGATAGCAGACGCAAGACGTTGCGCCAGCGAGGCATTCGACTTAAGCCAGTAAACGTAGTTACCCCGGTGTCGCTGCTGGACTCGGAGGCGGCGTGCGGAGTGTGCGGGACGTGCGGGGCGGCGGGCTGCGGGCTGTGCGGCGAGTCGCGGGCCGGCTCGCCGCACGCGCCGCACTTGGCGCCCGCAGAGTTGAGCTCGGGCGAGGACAGCGACGCGCACAGCGCCACGCTGCTGCTCGCGCCCCTCGCCTCCGTCACCGGGCTGCTGGCTACAGCTGCCCAAATTACTAACCATCATTATATTAATACGGCAAAGGAAAACTTTGTACCCCTTTTTAAGAACATTGCGCGCACGGGATTGTGAGATTTGGCATAGAAAGTTTATATGGAGGAGGAGCGCAGAAAGCTAAAATTTATATATAATATGTGTTACAAATAAATTAAACCAAATAAAATAAAACATTCATTGTTAATATTCATACTGTCAATGTCAAAACAGACTTCCATCTACGCGTTAAACATAAAATAGCATGTTGTTAAATAGTCGCACAGATCAAAAAGTATAATATAATCACTAAGTGTAAATAAATAATTACTGACAGATTGACAGTTGACTGAAAGAGCTGTAAACTTTGTGTGATTTCAAATGTTTCTTTTTCAATAGTTTGTGGAGCGTATCTCATGGCAAAAAGGAATTTATTTTACATTTTGTATATTACAAATCTGTGTTTTATATATTATTACGTAGCTGAAAGCGAAATACAGCTTGTTTAATATATTTAAAAAATTTGTGAATTACGGCCAAATCTCAACCCCCGGGTGACTACTAGTATAGCATTATTTACATGCCATGATGTTCGGACAATATAAATAACATGGTTCACGACAAGCAGATTTTAGAAAGAAAAACTATAAGGCGGTCTTATTGCTCAATGTAAAAAAATGTAACTATTGGACACAAGAAGGTGAGATATATTATATAAATACCTATACATAGTAAAAATGGTATAAAAATAGATTAAATTTGTTGTTAACTCTTAAAATCAGGTAAACAACTCAATTGTTATTTAAAAATACTAAAACAAAACAGCATAACACTCATAAGAGTAGCAGGCGAATGTGAGCACTGTTTCCATTAGCAGAGAATTGTTTTGCGCGTGGCGCGCGTACCCGTGAGCGCGTGCTCGTTGGCGGGCGCGCGCAGCTTGTCGTGGCGCGGCAGGCGCGCGGGTGGGCGCGCCGCGCTCAGCAGCGTGTGCAGGCTCACCAGCGCCATGTTGTCCGAGCCCGCGCCCGCCCCCGCACCCGCACCCGCTCCCGCTCCCGCGCCCGTACCCAGCGAGCTCGCCGACCTAATGAAAAACGGTGCTTGTGAATATGAATCAATATAATATACAATTTGTACATATTCAGTTGAGTAGTAAACATTTAAGTCAATATTTAGATATGTACACAACAGTTTTAACAAGGCCTTCTTAGGCAAAAAATACATTTATACTGTGAAATGTGATGTGATGAAGTAGGTTAACGAGATCAGGCTCTCAAGTCACAGAACACTTGGTAACTGCGATACTGTTTTATGTCTATTAATTAGTAACGATCTTGGGATGCTGATATCGTAATGACGACATATCAAATGATTACGCACTTGAGTTCTTCTTAAAGAAACATTCATTAATTCCGACCTTAGTGTCGCAAAAAGCCGATAACCAACTGCAATGGCTGAGCGTACACACTTCTGACATTGAAATAAAAACAACAAAACAAAAAGAGTCCATTTTCAACACGGCTATTACCAATTTTAACAAACGATGCTTCGCCGGCAAAGGGGTTTTTAAACTACAATACACTTCGTGTGACAATTATATTTTTATAGCTAATAATGAGACACAGGTCTGCTCTAAGCGATAATCAACAACAGTATGAAATATTTCTAGTGAAAATTTATCAAATGCCAAAAAAATACCTTGAAGTAGAGGGGATGTTATACGTATCGAGTGCGTGCTGAGCGTGCGCGTGTGCGTGCGCATGCGCGTGTGCGTGCGGGCGCCGGTCGAGCGGCGCGTAGTCGCCGAACCCGCAAGCCGATTGCGACGACACGTCGTTGTTACGCGTGTCGTCCAGGAACAGGGCCGTATTCAGAATTCCTACAAAACCACAAATTTATTACAAATGTAGCAATCTGTGTATATCATAATGAATTATGATTTGCATATTAGATTTGAAAAACAAATTAACAGGTGTAATTTAATTTGTAACATGCTTCTGTAGTTCACATAAAACTGTTTGCTCCAGTAAAGCTGTTACATTAGTTATCATAAGTTAGCTTGTTAAGTATAACAATCGTATTACAAGATTTTTTTTATCTTGTATATTGTTATGCTTAGGGTTGGCTAATAGAATATACATACAAAGACTCTTGGTAGAAACCAATAAACATAGCTATACTACTTTATTCATGACACAGTTTTAAATAAATAAAACCTTGTAAAAAAGACTACCTAACGCTCATTTTTGATGACTGTGTTGCCAAAAAAAAAACATATTTTTTTTTGATAAAAACCGAAATGAAAAGAATACGTCATATGAGGCACTTACGAAAAAATGCCCGTATTCACTACGCTGGACAAGCGAACTGCCGAATCACTAGCTTGGTAATGTTTCTCCTCACGATCTTGTTTATGAAATTTGTGTTCAGCGTTTTGAAAGGATTTCGCGACATCAGCGCAATACCAAATCCTCCATCAATCGCCAATCTTCAACAGGATCATTCCAATTGAGGGTGGCATTTAAGATGAAATTATGTTAATATATGATAATATATAATATATCTTGTTCTATTAATATATTTTGCGTATGTGGACTATGAGAAAGCCTTGATTCCGTCGAAATTTGGGCGATGCTGCAGTCATTTCGGCGGTTCCAAGTTGACTGTCGGTATATCTAGGTGGTGAAGTGTTTGTACAGCAGAGCTACTTATGGCTATCCGAGTACAGAACCACAGTACGAAATCTATCCAACTGCAGCAGAGAGGTGTAAGACAGGATAACGTTATATCCCCAAAACCCTTCACCGCTGCATTGGAAGATGTTTTGTAGCTACTGGACTAGAAAAGATACAGTATTAACATAAAATCCGAGTACATCACTCGCCTTCGATATTCCTTATGGCAGAAACGCTAAAGGACCTAAGCACTATGCTCAAGGATTTCCTTCTAAATATTACTATACTCTTTGGCGGGGTCTAAAAATTTGTCACGGGGGAGACCGATGTGGACCGGCAGGACTTGACAGATTAAATTAAGATGGAATGATTGTTACCAATGTCAAGGCTCTCCGATTTCTGCACTACAGCAGCTTTATGCTGCTATTTTATGTTATGGCACCATGGTTCTACAATGTTTTGTCTAAAGCAAACCAATTTTTCAATAAATGTAAAATTGAAATAATAATGACATCCAAATAATATACCAAGTGACCTGGACTAGTCAATCTCTGGCCGCTCATGATGCTGTGCGGTGTGTTGAACTTCCACTGGTGGCCATACAGTATGGAGTCGTTGAGAGGGTTTCCATCAACTGGGTTGTTCTGCGCCGGATTATCGGCGTCATTGCCACCTTGGGACGGAATTGAGCTGTTCGGAGCTCGGGTCGCTGCTATTGAGTTGCGAGACATTTCTAACGTCAAGCGCTGGAAATTAGAAAATATAATAATTATTTTAATCATTTAAGGAATCAAACTGCTTAGAAACTATTTTAAACTGACACACTCACTTCTTTGAGATCGTTTATCTGCAGTATGTGCTGATTCTGCATCGTAATGAGCTGATTAATGTACCACTGTTGGTCGCGGCAACGCTGATAGAAGGTTGGTGGTCGCACTTGGAACCTGCGAGAAAGATATCCGGAAAAATCCTGCAATTCCTAACGAGTTATGCCCCTTAAATTACTTCACGGCATAGGACTTAGAACTTCTAGTAACGGTTACAAGTATTAACTAAAAAATAGACTTATATACTTATGGCGATTTGACATGGAGCACGCACAAATGATTATTATCATGTATCATTCGTCATACGAAATAAATCAGTTTTTTAAGTGTTTTGTGTTATTTTTACCTTTCTATCTGCACAAAGTATAAAAATAGTCTTAGAGTTAATGGTACGCCCATTTAGATTTTTTCAAGAATTCATAATATCTCAAGCACAGTATTTATTAAATAAAAGGTTCTAATATGAATATTTATAGAAGTATATCTCATAACAGAGTTGAACGTTAATTAATTCTAGAACTTGCGCGACCTTGACATACATTTATAACTGCAGTAAAAAAAAAACATAATATAAAATTTAATCAAAAAGATTTAATAATTATAGATATTCCATTGATCTAAGTGTTAACACATACCTGAGTATTAGCGTGTCAGTTTCGGGATTGAGGTAGCCCTCGCTGGCGAGCAGATCGAGTCGGAAAAAACGGTTGTAGCCCCAGCACTCGCCCACCTCAAAGTCCGAGGCGAACTCGCGCACAATGTTTTTAGAGGGATCGCGCGACACTTGGTGCAACATCTCCACGCGATACTCGTACCTGGCGTACAGTTATAATTATTCACGTGGGAAAAACACCCTTTCAATTGAAGCGGAAAGCTGTGACAGTAACTAGTAAGAACAATTTAATGCAATATGTATATGAATTAATACCAAGTATTTTAAAAAATAATCTTACGTTATGTACTAGTTGTTTTCGTAATATAAGCCATTTTTTTTTTTCAAAACTGTTTTATAACCAGGTCTTAATTACGTGAAAATTCAAAAGAAGGCTCTATAATTATAGCTCAGGCAACATTATAATATGATTTTTATAGACAATGAATTATACAACCTAACCAGTTCGAGCTATAAAAATTAAGTAATATTAAATAACGATAAAAGCTTTAACACATAATATGAGAATGCGGCATATTTTTGCTACTCAAGATTTATGCGAGCAATTAAGGATTACTTTACATTTTTATTGGCGTTTTCCCCGAATAATAACAAGCCTGGAATTATTACGTTTTGCCGCCATTTTTATACATACTAAATATAAAGATAATTTAAATATTTTATGTATTAATGACTCGTGAATGAAAAAGCAGCATTTCAGCACTCACATAAAGTAAGTAGAAGATATATACAAAACTAACATTGACGTAGCCTTTTACATGGCAGCAAATAGAATACAATACCTAGACAGTTTGATGAATAGAATCTACAGAAGGCAAAATAATATAATGATGTAAAAGTTCCTTTTACCAAGGATAGAAAGTTTTCTTGCATCCCGACTACACAAAGAATTCTATTTTTTAATAAAACTACATAGTCATAGATTTAAATATATTTTGATGAATAACTACGCGATATTTGTTACTTAATTGGACGATGTTTGTCAAATTATCCGCCAACTTACAAAGTTTGATGAAATGCTGCGTGATTAGCACAATGAAGTTCTTGGCTCATACGAGCAACATGCCAGCACACAGAGCAGAGCGACTACTGTTAGAACGAACGGCAGCCAATATTTCTTGTCTAACTTACCTCTTGGCTACCCTGATTTTAGCAAAGCTTGTAATAACGAAATGTTTTTAGTTACTATCAGCAATTTCTATTAATCATGGCATAATCTATACAAATAAATAAAATTGAAGTGTCTGTTTGTAATGTGAAAATTACTGTTTTTTACTAAATGCATATGAAAGTAAATACGGTACTTATAACTAAAATACAATTTTTAAAATTTTTGTCTGTCTGTCCGTCTGTTTGTTTTGGATTATCTCCGAAACGGCTGGACCGATTTTGACGGGACTTTCACTGGCAGATAGCTGATTTCATAAGGAGTAACTTAGGCTACTCTTATTTTAAAAAAAGAATTAGGGTTCCGCGCAAAAACATAAAAACCCTAACATGCGAACGAAGTCGCGGGGAACAGCTAGTGTTGAATAATAATCTCTACTTCTGGCAAATACTCCAAAAATCACAAAAACAAATAAATTAAAATGACGATAATTAATTTGTTACTGAATTTAAAAAATAGGAATTTTAAACAAGCCTGCAAATGTAGACATTTATTTTGTTAAAATCAATATTGGTATATAAAGATAGATCTTTATTTTACAAATAAAAGTGAAGTAGTGCAAAATTACACTATTTGTTAAATTTTCATTGTGTGGGTTTGCTAACAGGGTTTTTTTCCGGTATAAAATTTGTGCGCAATCTATACTTTGATGGTATCACCACCTCACATTATTACCCTTTAACACTCATAGCTTTAATGTAAAATGAGGTTGAAGTAAAAAATGTAAAAAAAAATCGATTTTCCTTCAAAACTTTATTGGATGGGAGATAGTATAAGGCCCTTTTTGTGTTAAATTGCAATCTAAAAAAGTTTTGTTAATTTTCTTCATGTCTCTTTTTTAGTTTTTTTTTTGTTACGCAATACAATTTCAGTATTAGTCGCGTTTCTCTATAGCAAAACACGATATTAGGCTATGGAAATAGCTAGAATAAACTAGTATAGCTTTTTCAACGTTGGTGAGATTTCCCAATATTTTTTACAGCATATGTTGCAGAACAAAGTCTGCTAGTTTAGATATATGGGAGCCTCATTGATTAAAAAAAAACCTGTGATATCAAATGAGACATCTCTTCCCTATTTAAAATTATATTATATTAATTGTTACTTTAGTTACAAAATTAATTATCGTCAGCAAATAATACCATGTCATTGTTATGTCCTACTCTTTAATGTAATTCATATGTAATAATAATGTAATGTAATTCATATAAGAGAAACAGAAATGGGCTAAGAATTGAAGCACGCCCTGAAGCACGCCCATTTGTACTATCAACCAAGATGAACGTTGATAACTACTTTTTGAGTTCTATAAATTTAATATGAAATAATAAATTATGAGGGTTACTTCTTACACTATACCATACCATAGTTGTATTTTCCTTATTGTCTCATAGTGAACACAATCAAAGGCTTTGAATGATCACAAAATATACCCAAAGCATGACATCAATTCTTCCTTGCATTGAAAATATGTTTAATAAACTCAACACCTGCACCAATTGTCGAACGACCGTTTGTGAAACCGAACTGATTTTATGAAGTAAATTATTTAAATTAAAATAATGTTTCAATTAACCATTTGATTAAGATTATCTTTTTCAAAAATATTACTAAGTGTTATTGGTACAGAAATAAGTTCTAAAATTGTCAAGGTCAAATGTGCTACCAGATTTAAATAATGGTGTCACTTTACTATGTTTCATTAAATCAGGAAACACACCAATAAATTAAAAAGAATTATATACAAAAACACTACAATCTAAGATTACTTAGTAACGATCATGGCAGCTACGAGAATATCATCCGCTTTAGCAAACCAGTCGCAACTTATAAGGTGTTTTCCCATGCATCATTACAGCCTATCTAAGTTCACAGCTGAACATAGGTCTCCCCCATAGACAGCCTCATAGAGGGGACATTTGACATAGTTCATCACGGTTGACAAGAATGTTGGCAACTGCAGTTTTTTTTTATTTCTAGTGGTTTGTTTCCCTGCGTCGTCTCATACGACACCCACCGAACGACGAACGGAGGTTAGATATTCATACACCGCAACTACTAGGAAAAGATCGCAAATATAAGAATATGAATGTAATGACGTTAAAATCAGATATATAATAAAAATGTGTAAAACATAATACAACAACCGAAGTCGAACTAACGAGAAATGATCGTACTGGGAGTTATTATATAATGTATGTACATAAAAACATAAATAGCTTTAATAAGAATAAGGCTGTGCATACTTTAAACACTAGGAACAAACATAAGCTTGCAATACCAGTTACTAGACTCCACAGAATCAGTAATTCATTTATCGGGCAATGTATACGCTTTTACAACAAAATCCCAGAACATATTCAAAGTTTGTCAATAAACAAGTTTAAAAGTTTTATTAAAGAAAAACTGTACAAAAAGGGTTATTATAATATCAAGGAATACATGAATGAAAATAACCCCTGGGAATAAGGTGATCGCCACCATGCTGGTTCTATGAAAAATTATTTAAAAATTGTATAAACGAAATTATGTTTGAAAAAAAAGTCCCGCTGGGTTTCTTGCTGGTTCTTCCCAGGACAGAGGTATTTTCCGAACCAGTGGTAGATAAAAAATTACTTTCAATAAGAATTATGTAATAATCGATATTGAATAAAAAATTATTCTATTCTATTCTATTCTATCCAGAGCTAGAAGTCTAAGTTTTTAGTTCTGCTAGCATATCAATGTCATTGCGTTGTTATAACTTGGTGCCAGCATAAGAAAATCCATCATCTCATTTCGTTCTCTAGGTGTCGTAAGAGACGTCTATGAGTACCGACACATGCGACGTAAATATCTTTTACAATCCAGGTGTAAAAATCTGGACCAGTAACAACGTCTAGTGCTGCTATTGTCAATACATCTTCCAAGCAAATATTTACCACAGTGGAAAAGACCCATGATCATATGATACGGTAGACATTTATGGGCTAAGAAGTAATGAAACAATCTACTACCCGTGCGGTTAAAGAGTGGGATTGATAATGGCGTCACCTCTATGCACTTTTCGCTCGCACACTGTCGCTATCTATACTCACACCAACCGGTAAAGACTGCAAAAAAACTACGTTGTGATATGCGCTTTTCGTACGTTCTATAATTTCAATCCAACTTATCATTGGAATCAATGATAAAATGCCATAAACTACAACAAAAAATTCAGTTCGGTTTCGCTCATTTGTGAGCTATGACGCGTTTTGAGTTTTTTTTTAATTATTGTTGATTTTGTATGTTAATTATTTTGTATAAAATATTTGCATGCTATTGAGTAACCATTATTAAAATTTTAGTTTGTCTGTCTGTCCAATCTTCGGAATAGTTGAACCAATTGTAATAAAACTTACTAAACGAACAAATAGAGAGTAATTACCAGGAGTGATCTAGACTAAATTTTATCCGAAAATTTTTGAAAAATTTATTAAAATAGAAATATTGATAAGATAAAATAAATGGCTAATTATTTTAAGTCTAAATAACGCCATATTAATAGATCTCACCCAGGCGAATCTTGCGTAAACAATTCTTTTCAAATATTTTCCTATTAATAGAAAATTTCCAATTAACAGAGTGATATAACATTATAATGATATACCGTTATTAGCGGGTTTTCGCTTACAGTACTGTGCATGTTGACGGTACGGGCGTGATGAGCCCGCCATTTCTAATCCCATTCTTTATCCGTACGGACTGTACTTCTTTAATGACTTTATAGATAAAGATATAAAAATTATTTGTTTTACAACTTAATTAATGAAAGAGTTATTTTAATTAAGGCCGACTTTTCAATTCTCAGATAAAATATAACATGAGCATATTAAAAATTACAAATTGTATAAATAAAATAGTTCTACTATTTCAAATTTTACATTCAGTCAGGTTATTATTAATTTAATGGATAACTTTTTTCTGACGATTGAATTATCAGCCTTTATCACTCTATTATATTAAATATTTTGAAGCGATGGTTTACGAGTTTATAACCTTACTTGTTATCTCATATGTTTGGATGCCCTCCAAACACGTATGAACGGCTGGACAGATTCTAATAAAATTTGGCATATAAGTGGATTATATCGTGAAATAGGGTTGTTGCATAGGATTCAAAAATAAATGTAATATTAAATACGTAGTTTTTTTGCTTTAGTGACACTACAACAACAATAAATCATGAATTGATATCAAATATGGTTGTTCCATTTAGTACACAAATTGTAATTGTAAAGCTGTCGTATATAAATAAAATTTCGTAAAAAAAAAAAGAGTTAATTATATGTTTTACTATTGTGTAACAGTAGTCGTTTAGTAGACACTAAACACCAAGTTAGCGTCAATTATTTTTTATAAAATAATGGTTGACTGGGAGAGAATGCCGGTATATGGTAATAAGTCCACCATATGTACAACTCTGTGCATGAAAGATTAAATAAATAAATACAATATCTACCAAAATATATAAAATTCCATTATCTCATAATACAAGCAAACCAATGAGGTCTAATATTCTTACGCTTACTAGATGTTGCTAGTTGAGACTCAGGTGAAATTATTTTTCATGCAGATGTAACACAGTATCATCATCATTGAAAAGTTGCATTTTAAATAAAACTTTTTCGGTTTCTAGTGTATGTATATACACAAAACAATGCCTAAGTAGTGTGTTCATTAATTTTTTTTTTGGGTTACCCGTAGTTTGGTTTATCTACTTGTAATCCTAATTAATATAAAAACATTAACCCTCATGTTTTCCTAACAAATCAACTCTCCCACTATGAAATCTGTGAAACATTTCACCTCTAGCCAAAGTGGCGCCGCCCTGGTGGCAGATAAAGTCGTGGATGCCCTCATTACCTGAAGAGAGTGACTCACTTAGAGGTCTCCGGCAGGCCGGCGCTGAGCTCGAGGAAGACGGAGAGATAGTTGCCTCTGACGACGCCGTTGCCGTCCGGGTAGACTTTGAGGCGCCAGCACAGGCCGTGCACGTGCAGCGGCGCCGAGTACACCGGCGCCGCCGCGTGCTGCAGCTGCGTGAAGTTCGACAGCGGGAACGTGCTGCTGTCATAGCTCGGCACGATTTCACTGTTCACACACACCATATACATTTTTTTTTATAGAATAAGCTTGACAAACGGCCACATAGTCTACATGATGATAAGTGGATGCTCTGGCCCATAGACATCTATCTATATCGGTCTCCAATTAAAAATCAAAATGCATATGCGTTGTCACCCTGAGGACTAGGAACGCTTTCGTTGCACACGTTTCCAATAAAAAGGGCCTCCAGATCTCTATACTTACCATACAAAAGACAGTAGCATTATGTGTGACTACTTGTAATAACTATCGACAACAGCACATAAACGTAACTCGAGCAGAAAATCGGTTTATAATTCTTTTATTGCCTGTTGTCGCCTTTTTTTAAGAAAGAGACTACCAAACTTCTGGTCCTGAGTAACGCCACCATAGAGAATGGAACTAAACAGCTTCTGAAGGACTTTTAACTACATACTGGTTTTTTACTTTCATAAGCCTTGCTGCAATTACAGCCTCACCCGTATTGCCATTTTTAGGAACTCTAGAGCCTTACTAATATTGCTCAGAGTAGTGTTTGTGATATTGCATACACAGATACAGGTATAGTGTTGGATGAGCCTTGTTCTTTAGTGTCTCACACATGTAGTTGTGTTCTATTTTGTCCAAAAATTATACACATCATCTTAAGCTGTCCATAGAACTTTTTAATCTGACTCAGGAACATCTCAAGAGTCCCGAAAATGACGCTGCTACAGTAGGTCTTCAACTTCGAAAGTTGGCTCTTTTCAGCATAGAAATCTCTGCCAAAGGCTTAGAGCCTTTATTCCACACAAAGTTGCGTCAGTCTCGCCGAATACATTACAAGATCTATCTTTTCTGTTGCCTGTATGTCATATCTGCTGAAGACTGCAGCTTCATTTCCAGTCAAACAGGCATAAGATTAAGAGTGAAATCAGAGCATTTTTGGGTTCTTCTGCGACAAGTCTTGCAGAACTTAATTCCGATTACAAGAAAGGTTTCCACAAAGTTGTCATTTATATATTCTAAGCACAGTGCTTTGGATTAAAGCACGAGGAGGCGGAGTATTGACTTCATTAGACGACACCTCTCCGTTAAGGTCAAATGTGCCACTCATCATTTGATGATAGCTACCTTTTCTCACCCCCGCGATTACTGAGACATCACTCAAAAGTTGTTGTCTGGTCGTTATAATAAAGGAAACCTCATTTTTTGTAGAATCGTCGAGGCTGAACCAAGACCCCTTTTCATGTGGCCACTTCTGGAAGAAAGAGATTATCATAAAGAGTCCCTTTCTACATACCACCATAAACTGCATTTGCTTGAATAATAGCTTTGTTTTTGCTTGCTAGTTACAGTTGTAGTACAACCTAACAGTCATGTAACTTAAAATTCATTCCCATTGTTATAGTTTTCTAAGTCTCATGATATTTTGGCGAACAAATAATACTTGCCTGTGGAAATCGGCCGGCACCGGTGCTGTGACAAAGCTCGCCATGGGTTTCTTACGAACTTGATGAATCATCTTCGACAGCTCACCACTTTTAGCAATCAATTCAGACCTGAATCAAAAAAAATTTTGGAGTGTCGCAAACAAAAGTAAATAAAAGGGATTTTGAACTATTATGAGTTACCGTCGAAAATGTTATTTTTCTTTTAAAATATCCATAACACAAGGTTACTTAGCGACTTATGTCACTTTAATTAAGAATTTGAAAATTACTAAAATCACCTTGTACTGGAATGTAGCTGGTGCTCAATCTCCTGCAGCAGATGTTCGAGTTGCTCAGTCTCTTGTGTGAGGCTGTTCTTCTGGCCCATCAGCGTCAGTAATTTTGCTTTTAATGCAGAGTCAAGTCGCGATATCATAAGTTCTACCGCGTTGCGAATTTCACGCACGCGTTCATCTTTAGCAGCGCGTACGGACTCTACGTTCCGTTCCTGGGAAAAGTAGTAAATTTAACAAAAATCTCCTTCCTTAAATGGTAGTCACGCCGCCCAAATTTAATGTTAAGCGGCGACTCTAGCCCATGAATTGTGAAAACCTAACAGCCAACCTACAGATCTGATGGTGTACATCACAACCATTACAATATGTGTAAATAAAACAAGTATAAGGTTTGTACTAAAATATAGTATTCATATGTTTATATAATATGATAAAAGTTCATTGATGCTTAGATAGATAGATAGATAGATAACGACAAGCTGTTTTCCGTACTCCACGTCTAAGCACGTATTTTGCGTGTGGGCAGGACGCTTAATTTAAATGTAACTCATGTAGTGGCGGCGTTAGAAAATCTATCACACCATTTTATCCCATGGGTATGGTGAACACCAAAAAGATCTAATAGTTTCGAATAGATGGCAAAATAATAAACTCGTTTACGTCAGATTTTAAAATATCTAGACATCTATTACAGAAATTGTCATTCCGTTTGCCTCGTGTGGTAGTTAAAGCAATTTCTCCAAATGAACGAGACCCATGTCTAGCAGTGGACTTTTTCGATCTGATAAAGAAGAAGAAAGCTAGGAAAGAGGTTATTCAACACTGGGCTTCTAATTTTAATCTTACCACATCCTGAACAAGACTGATAAGTTCCATTAATCTTCGCCTCAGCTGGGAAACTTCGTCGCGGATCTGCGTGACATGCTGTTCATACACTTCTTCGAGTGGCTTGAATGTATGGCCCGAGTGTGTGCCGCCCCACAGCGCACATTGGTGACAAATACACCGTCTGCATGTCCAACAGTAAACTGTAAGCTTTTCTTGATGGGTTGGACATCTGGAAAATGAGTTTCTTTACTGAGACTAAAAGTTTGCTGTTAAAAAACATTTCTCAACTTGTTGTTGCTATTTAATTTGAAAGACAATTATTTTGTGCGGAACCCTAATTCTTTATCTAAAATAAAAGTATCCTAAGTCCTTATAACATCAGCTATCTGCCAGTGAAAGTCCCGTCAAAATTGGTCCGGTTCTTTCGGAGATTAGCCGGAACGAACAGATAGACAAAAATTTTAAAAATTGTTTTTTGTTATTAGTACCGTCAGGCCTGTCTCACTCCGCGCTTTAGGCATGAATACCTACGATGCGTGGCCCCCTACGATGGGCTAATTTCGTGAGGTTGTCATGTGCGTACTCGAGCTGACGCGCACCTTAAGCCGCATATCGCTTAGGCTACTCTTGGTGCGCGCGCCATAAATGACCGCACCAACCAGTGCGTTTCCTGGAAAACGCTTTCCAAATGCTCGAAGTGTATCAACTAAGCGCGCCTGACGCGCGCGGCAATTGTTCCAATGTTTGACCGTTCAACATGGATGTCGGTCGTGTACGAGCATCTGTCGCTTTCATAGGTCCATGCATCTTTTCTGAGCGCTTTATTATGATAAAAACTACTTTCGCTATTCAACAGCAGTTCTTTTGAACCTTATAATTTTATCAATTTACGGCAACTTTGATTATCCATACTCGGAACGCAACGAACATACGAATTATGAAAACAACCGTCCCAAATGGCGCGCGCGTCTAATCTGAACTGCTTTGATACGCGGTAAAAAACCGACACCAGATGGAACGACCTGCTCCACGTTTGAGCGTTCCAACGAACAATTTGGCAGTAGAAGAGATAATTCTTCACTTCTCATTGCCAATCTTTCATTAATAATGAAGTACGTGTCGCATGTTTGTAAATAGCAACAAAATGTGTAACAGACAAGTGACGGCTCCGTGGTGCAGTAGCTTAGTAATAAGTTGCAGCGCTAAGGGTCGCGGGTTCGAATGCAAATGTAATGTAATACTAGCATTAAAACTTCATGGAAAAACGAATACACAGTTGAGAAATTTTTGTCTAGATATCTGTAACCTTTACTCCAAATGTATTGTTAAGGCTCTGGCTACACGCACTTGCATGTGCAAACAATTTGTGCAAAAAATTTGTGCAAACAATATGGTGCACTGCACAACGCCCACGAGGAGCATGCGTGACCTCCACACGCCGCTTTAACGTACATGCTTGCTTGTGTACCTATAGTTTGAACAAATTAAGCATTTGTGCAAGCCATTTGCACGGTATACTGTCTTGCCGGCTTAATGTACATGCTTGCTTGTGCAAATGAGAATTTGTGCAAATATGATTGAGAGTGTAGCCGGGCCTTTATGTATTCAATATCTGCTAGACATAAATTAGTATAGAGCATAGTAGTAATATACTATCTCGGCAAAGTCCCACTGGGTTTCTTGCTGGTTCTTTCCAGGACAGAAGTATTTTCCGAACCACAGGACTTTCAAAAAGTATTATGTAATAATCTATATTGAATAAAAATCATTCTATTCTATTCTATTTTGGTAGCACAGTTGACATGCATTTAACAAAAGTGTTAACCTCTAGGTTTAATTTTTGCATGGAAAAAACATTTGTATTGTACTGATTGTACTGTAGGTACTGATAATTGCTTCAGATCTGTTTTAGTCCATGTGTATTGCACATAAACTACATCTATGCTACAGGAAAAATACATAGTGGACAGGTTACATTTTAAAAAGAAAATGTTATATCGATTTGAAAAATGTATGTAGTTTTCATGTACAAAATGGTTTAAGTATAAGGCAAAGTAACATATACATATCATTGGTACAGCTACCTTTCATTTTTGAGAGGCTTATAGAATTTTAATCTCAGATTTTATCATACATAGCATTAGCAACATCTACAACGAAAACTGCTTGTTCTTACATAAAGAAGTTAACAGCGTTGTAAAAATAATAAAGCTATGATATGTCACTTAACAATGTTTGTTTCACATTAATAGTAAATACAGGAAGCATCTTTAATAATACGAGGGTGGATTGAAAAGTACTCGGCCTAACACAGATCCATTCAATTCTAAAAATCAAATCTACCCACATTATTTAGTTCAGTTCAGACTAGTTCATTGTGTGAAGTTCGAAACGTGTGCGATAATTAGTTGAGATTTTATAAATTTATTAACAAAGTAATCGGACATAATTTCCGCGAATGGAGCAAATCGAGCAGCGTGCCGTCATTAAGTACCTCCATAAGAAGGGGCTATCATCAAAAGCCATCCATGATGACATGGTCAGTACATTAGGCGATTGTGCTCTGTCATATTCATCCGTCAAAAAATGGATAGCAGAATTTAAGCGTGGTAGAGAGAGTGTGAAAGATGAACCCCGCTCTGGAAGGCCTTCGACGTCAACTACTGACGAAAATATTAAAAAAGTACTTGATTTAATAATGGGAGACCGCAGATTAAAAATTAGAGAGATAGCCGAGATTATAGGCATCTCTTATGAACGAACTCAAAACATCATTGTCAACGAGTTGGGTTTCCACAAGGTGTCTGCGAGGTGGGTTCCGCGACTGCTTTCAGTTGAACAAAAAAGGACGCGACTGTTTGGAGTTATTTTGAAGCCGATGCAGATGATTTTTTGAATCGTTTTGTTACTATGGACGAAACATGGGTTCATTACTGTACACCGGAAACAAAACAACAATCAAAACAGTGGAGAAGACCTGGTTCACCACCCCCTAAAAAGGCTAAGTCGATTTTGTCGGCAAATAAGGTGATGGCTTCAGTATTCTGGGATGATTATGATTGATTATCTTGAAAGGGGTCAGAATATAAACTCTGATTACTACTGCACCTTACTACGTCGTTTACGAGAGGAAATAAAAGAAAAACGTCGAGGAATGCTCAGAAGAAAAGTCCTGTTTCATCAAGATAACGCCCGTGTTCACACGTCAGTACAGTCAATGGCTGAAATTCACAACTGTGGCTTTGAACTGTTACCGCATCCGCCGTATTTACCTGATCTGGCACCATCAGACTTCTTTCTGTTCCCTAACCTAAAAAAGCACTTGGGAGGTCAAAGATTTTCGACAAACGACGAGGTCAAAGCAGCTGTAGACGCATATTTTGACTCTAAGGAAGAATCATTTTTTTTCAACGGTCTAAATGCTTGGAAGGGGAGGTGGCAAAAGTGTATGGAACTTGATGGTGATTATGTAGAAAAATAAAAATATAACTGATTTAGTATGTGTTTATTTTCTTGGTTAGGCCGAGTACTTTTCAATCCACCCTTGTACATTTCCTTACAAGAACTTTAGTAGGATTTTAAATATTGTTTGCAAACAAGAAATAAAAACACCATTAGTCATAATATAATAGATAACAACTGAATGATTTAGTGCTCATTAAGCACCTGGCTAGTATGTAATCCCGGGTTTAAATTCCACAAACCGACATTTATGCACAAACACAATCTCTTTTGTTGTCAATATTGTCGGTTATGGTGGGACCTGGTAATTATTTATTTGTTTAAATTGATTTCAGTAGATTGATGTCGACTGGCTCATTAGAAGTTGATCATTAATTGATAAAATAATTGGTCAAACTGTTCAGTTTATTTTATAATGTACACAAATGATGAAGTTGATTATCACAATGTTTTTTTATAAAACTAAAGGCTACTGATGCATTGTCACCGCTGAGAACTAAGATGGAATGTCCAACAGCCTGTAATAAGACTAACTCCATACCCTTCAGTTTGGAACACATGCACTGCTATTTGGCAACAGAAATAACTTTTAACTTATGTAGTCACATGTGTCAGCTTTATCAAACAAAAACACAGTTCACCAAGGTCATTAATTTAAATTCTTTATTTTCTTCTGTATTGTGGAGACACATACACACATTTACAAACATAGATTGCACGAGGATAAACATTCAGACCCGGAACAATTATTTGTAAGCCATACAAATACTTGTTCCGTGTGGGATTTGAACACGTGGCCCCCAGCGCAACAACTCATTGCTAAGCCACTGTGCCACAGAGCTGTCAATTAAGACTTGGTATTATTAAAAATATAATGTTAGAAGTTTATTTGCTACCTAGGTGTTCCCTGTGTCTTTGCCTGCATGTAATTTATTACAATTGGATTTTATGGGTTATAATTTTTTTATGCGGAACCCTCATTCTTTTTCTAAAATAAAAGTAGCCTATGTTACTCCTCATAACATCAGCTATCTGCCAGTTAAAACCCCGTCAACATTGGTCCAGTTATTTTAGAGATTAGCCAGAACAAACAGACAGACAGACAGATTTTTAAAAAAAATGGTGCTTTTGTTATAAGTATGTAGAGTAAAAAGCTGTTATTTTAAAATTACATACAGACACTTCATTTTTCTTTATTTGTATAGATTATAGCAGACCAATATATCTAACTAGCACTGAACCTTGAGAATGTTGTTAATTGACTTTCATTAAGTAAGCCAATTTTAATCACAATATAATTTTATTTCTGTAACATACAAAATTTACACACTTAATGCTAATGCTATTTAGTACTAAGCAGGCACACAGGCAGTCTCTAATGACTATAATGATTTCATACATTTATGCAAATACTGCACATTGAATAAAACTAATTTTACAGATTTTATATTATTTAACTATAACTTTTTTACTTCAAGCATGCTTCCATAAGAACATACTACAGGCCACTGAAGAAGATCAGTCAGTTAGTTATCATATGTTAAGTGTAATATTCCTCTATAAGATACAGGAGTACCTATATAAACTCAAACGTAAATACAGTCTCTTCTACAAGTTGCAGCACTTAAGTCTAGTGTTGAATGCAACATAGAAGGGATAGCATGGGCGCAGTCACGCACGAATTGAATTGCACGAATGCGAATAAAGAATTTATAACTGTTATGAAGGACTGACTGAAATTTATTTTATTCAATAAGTTGTATGCTGGTCACAGTTGACAATATTGATTTAAAAAAAAAGTTATAACTTTTTAAACAACACAACAAAAACTTTTAATTAGCCACTGTCAGTATCAGCGGCAGGCGAAATACAGATAAAAACTTACCTGTCCCTGAAACTTTCTCTTTGGCTGGCTGAATTGGTTTGCTGCATGGTCTCAATTTGCTGGGTGACTTCTTCTACCCAACGGCAATTCACTAACTCGTGCAGATGCAGAGCAGCACGGCAGTGCGGACACTGTGACCGCTGTTCCGTCAGCCAGCGCCGAACACATGCGTAGCAGCAGAGCTTCGAGCAATGAGGGCATAGGTGCGCATCCACCAGCTTCTCCATACAGATGAAGCATCGGAACACCTCCGCCAACGTCTACAACACCGAAATTCATGTTTCCACACATCACTTAGGTCAAGTTTAACTGTCGAATTTAAGTAGGCCAAATCGATTTACCTCGACGATCTGCTCCTCGCCATTTCCATTTCCCTTATCCCCCCTCGTAGCCATCCTCAGAATTAGATGATTTTATTACGGGGAAAATATTTATTTACCATATGTAATTTAATCATTTTTACATAGTTCGAAATAAGCAATACATATTCACGAAACAGTGTCAACCACAACAAAAGAAATTTACCACCACTACCAACTGCTTCCGTATTCGAAATAAAAACAAAAAGTAGTGTTGCTATAGTTATATTAATTTTGATTTTTCCCGTCATAAGATATTTGGTACAACTAGTTATAAAGCCCGCTTTTCACTATGGAATATAATCTTTATATATAAAAATTACGTGTCACGTTGTTTGTCCGCGATGAACTCCTAAACTACTGAACTGATTTCAATGAAATTTTGCACACTCTGTGCAGTTTCGTCCAACTTGAGAGATCATCATCATCATCATTACAGCCCTTCACAAGTCCACTGCTGAACATAGGCCTCCCCCGAAGAATGCCACAAAGCACGGTCCTGAGCCACCTGCATCCATCGACTTCCTGCATATCTTACCAGGTCGTCACTCCATCTAGTGGGGGGACGCCCTACACTTCGCCTGCCGGTACGAGGCTGCCACTCGAGAGCCTTTCTTCCCCATCGGTTGTCGGTTCTTCGAGCTATATGGCCGGCCCATTGCCACTTCAGCTTACTAATCCGTTGGGCTATGTCCGTCACTCTAGTTCTACTGCGGATATCCTCATTTCTGAGTTTATCACGCAGTGAAACTCCGAGCATAGCCCTCTCCATAGCTCGCTGAGCGACCTTGAGCTTCCTCATCCGGCCAGCAGTGAAGGACCACGTCTCAGTTCCGTATGTCATCACTGGCAACACGCACTGGGTGTACAGTCTCGTTTTCAAGTTTTGAGGTATACCTAAAGAGAAGATATGCCGTAATTTCCCGAACGCTGCCCAACCGAGTTGAATCCGTCGATTGACCTCTCGGTCGAAGTTGGACTTACCTAGTCGGACTATTTGTCCCAGGTAAACATACTCGTCAACAACTTCGAGCTTAGTGTTCCCAACAACTACCGGCATAGGTGTGACATGGACATTAAACATGATCTTTGTTTTGTCCATGTTCATCTTAAGACCTATCCGTTGGGAAACACTATTGAGGTCATTGAGCATAGTGCTTAGGTCCTCCAGCGATTCTGCCATAAGGACTATATCGTCGGCAAATCGAAGGTGAGTGATGTACTCGCCATTGATGTTGATACCGTATCCTTTCCAGTCCAGAAGCTTGAAAACATCTTCCAATGCAGCGGTAAAGAGTTTCGGGGATATGACGTCACCCTGTCTTACACCTCTCTGCAATTGGATAGGTTTCGTACTCTGGTTCTGTACTCGGATAGCCATCGTAGCCCTACTGTACAAGCACTTCAACACTTCGATATACCGACAGTCAACTTGGCATCGCTGAAGGGACTGCAGCACCGCCCAAATTTCGACGGAATCAAAGGCTTTCTCATAGTCCACATACGCCAGACATAGTGGCAAATTGTACTCCTCGGACTTCTGTACAATTTGCCGAAGGGTATGTATGTGGTCTATGGTGCTAAAGCCTTTTCGGAAACCGGCTTGTTCGGGAGGCTGGAAGTCGTCAAGTCTGCGCGCGAGACGATTCGTAATGACTCTCGAAAACAGCACGTAGACTTGAGAACTTGAGAGATAGGATAGTTTATATCCTGATAAGTGACACTCAATATTTTTTTATTACAAATTTAAGGATTTTTTATATGAAGGGTTGTCAAAAAGGGCAAAACAACGACTGCCTGGCCAGCTAGTATAATATATATTACAACTCGAGGTATAAATTAATTCGCTCGTCATAGTTTTAAATGGAACCGTTTACATTGAGCTATAATATATATTACATCTCAATCTATAAATGTTTTCTCGAACGACCGAGTGATATTTTCATATTATATTTCGCTCCCTATACCCCGCACACCGTTCCGCACGGCCGCAGAACCATGTGCGGGGTACAGGAGGTAATCCAATGATGAACGCACACTGGTTAAAAGATATATCTCACAGTGTGAAAGCCAATCGCGGGATGTAATTTATATTTTGGGATATAATATATATTATATCTCATAGTGAAAAGCCAGTCTTAATGTATGTACTATTCTTAATATATATATCGCACTAGCCCAATCTGTAATAACTTACTGCATCTCGGTATGGGGAGGAGCAGCTAAATCATATTTTATAGATCTAGAAAGGGCGCAAAGATCTTTGATTAAAATAATGTACTGTAGGCCCTATAGGTTTTCCACCGAAACCCTATACCAAACATCTAAGCTGCTCTCCGTTAGGAAACTTTATATTTTACACATGATATTAAGATATCACAAAACCTTACCTTTTGACCATACCAAACTTATAAAAAGACGGTGCGATATCGTGGCTCCCTCATACCCTGCACGTACAGTTTTTGCCAAACGACAAAATATAGCTCAAGCCCCTCATGCCTATAACAAGATCAATAAATTAATTAGGATTTACCCCATGCAAATGTTTGAGTGTAGAAAAACTCTGACCGAATGGCTCTTCACTCTTAATTATGATGACGTGGAAGACATTTTGGTAAGAAAGAGTTGAACCTGCTGTAAATAACACACATACACAACACAAATCAGTGGGTGAGACACATTCATAAACTTGCACACATACACAACCATTCACATACGTGCACATATACATAAACAAAAACATTCACTCACATACACACACAGAGACACACGCACGCACACACACACACACACGCACACACACACACACACGCACACGCACACACACACGCACACGTGTGACGCGCACACACACACGCACACGTGTGACGTGTGTGTGTGTGTGTGTGTGTGCGCATGTGTGTGTGTGTGTGTGTGCGTGTGTGTGTGTGTGTGTGCGTGAGTGTGTCTCTGTGTGGGTATGTGAGTGAATGTTTTTGTTTATGTATATGTGCACGTATGTGAATGGTTATGTATGTGTGCAAGTTTATGAATGTGTCTCACCCAAAAGATTGTGGGTTGTAATTGGCCATTCGACAACTGTCATGAACCACTCCTAACGCTAGCATTTTTACCTTACAGTGGTTATAGGGAATATAAGTAATGTCAATAGCATTGCCAGTATTTAAAAACTAATGGTTTGTTTACTATTATCTCGGTCTCGTCTTTGTGCGGTACCTTAAAGATATTGAACATACATACATTTTAATTGGCGCTACGACAAACCAATTTTACTCGAAAATAAAATAATCTTTTGATTTATTACAGTAAAATTTAGGCTCTACATGACTAAAATAAAGATTATAACATTTGTTTGCTATTATCATACATTTTATGTCGCGCTTGTGCTTGAAAATAGTGATATTAAAATAATACTCATACATTAGTTACCCTACTCAACCGTCCACGGTGACTATAGTCCATAAAAAATTATTGCCTCACCTGTCCATGGTGACTATAGTCACCAAACGACATCGTTCGGTTTAAACGTGGACAGCAAAAAAGATAGCTGTTATTATAGTAAAAATTATAGATGGTGCTTTTTTAAATTTGTGAGAATCTGTGAGAGAGAATTTTATCTGTATAATAGTAACAAAATATTTAGAAAAAAAAGTTAAAAGTTATTTTTCTTTGTGGACTGTTAAAGTGTCAGAAATTCGATCAACATTGTGATGTGATAAGCTTTCTGGTTTTATACGTTATTTCTAATGTTATTGTACATCAACCTAATTGTGAAGATATTTTATTTAGTAAATATGTATCATTAACACAATTCCAAAACATTTGCATATAATAAATTAGCTCGAAATTTTAATTACTATACGCGATCATCGTTTATTGATTATATGTTGTTTAAAATGTATTCTAATCAGTTTTTTGTGTTAAATGAATGCTAAATATAAAAGAATGCTTCATTATTAACACGTTGATAGCCATTTATAAACGAAATATCTGTTGAGATGTGTCTAGAAATTATTAAAACTTATTTTTATTTATTTATTTACTTATTTATTCAAATTTATATTGGGTAAACATTATATACTTATGTATATGAGTATGTAAGATATTATTGATATTGGTGTCATTTTAAAGGAAATATCATGTTCTATTATAATATAAAATAATTGTCCCTAGTAAATATTATAATTTACTTGTAAAACTTGAAATAAAAAATAAATATGATTTTTTTGAAATTCCCGTTTTTAAGCTTTATTTTCAGCTCATAGATTAATAATAAGTCGTCGCGCGCTCTGACTAGATACCGCGCTCCCTGCAAGTAACAGCTCCGTGATTGCGGCATCTTAATATTGTAGTGTGTATAAGACAATTTGCATGATGCTAGTGTGCGTGAAAAATTGTATATGCCAGCAGCTTAACTATTACCCGATTAATGGGAAAATTTATTTTATGCTATGGCTTAGTAGTTAAGTTCCTAGCTATGAATGTATTCCAGAAATACTTAAAAATGAATAGTATATTAATAACGAATGTATCAATATATTTGTGTATATTATGTATAGGTTTTTCTTCTGAATAAATGATAAGGCCTCCTTTTTATCAGTTTATTTTTTTTTATTTACACATCTAACTAATATTCACAAATTATTTAAAAAATAGTTATATATATATATATATATATATATATATATATATGGTGTAATCAAAATAGGGCTTTCTATTCTACGCGTCAATATGAACAACTTTTACTATAGATCTATCTTCCTAATCGCAAGAAAAATCAGGTCTTCCATACATTTTGAGCAAGTTTTTACGAAATTTCGTATGGAATAACTGACTTTGAGATATTTTTATAGGAACAGGGTGACAAACGAGCACTCAGTCCACCTGATTGTAAGTGGTTGCTGTGGCCCATAGACATATACATCTATAAAAGCTTTTAGAAAAATTTACTTCGCAAATATCCGCGTTATAAAATAAAATGATGTGTCTTACCTAGTATGAAGAGCACCTCCCACTTTCCCTCAATTGCGTGCACT